AAGGAGTGTGGGCATGAAGGAGCCCCTGGACATAAACCTGTCCCCATCCCACCCGCATCCCTATACCCATGCCCGCTGGCTGGCTACCGCCTGAGGTCAGTCCATGCAGGAACCTGGGGTGACATGGACATGGCTGAGGCACAGCTTGGCATGTGGGAAAGGACATGGTACATGCTGGCCGCCAGCTCGCACTGGGGTCCTGGCTGATGGCAGGGGTGCCACTGCCCAGCCTCACTGCTCCCCCCTCCTCAGTACATGGGGTCCTTCGGGACAAACAAACATCCCGAAATAGCCCTGCGGTCGGCAGGGGGCTCAGGGCCCGGGGATCGAGGGGAAGCACCCCCTGCCCTGCTCACGCCGGAAGGTGCGCGGAAGTGAGATAAGGAGGAGCAGTGCCCCGGGAGAGGGAAAGGACCTTGGGGCTGGCATGGGGATGTGTTGCCCTGAGCAGGGGGATGCTCAAACCCCAGCCCCAAGACTGCTTGGAGGGGCTGCTGGTTTCTCTGCCCCATTCAGCAAGCTGCTGTCCCTGTTGTCGGAGAGATGAACTAGAGCATCACACCCTGCAGAAACTCCATCCCAAGCACTGGTGGCTTTGCTGACACGTGGGTGCCTGTCCCCATTGCCAGGGAAAAGAGGACAGTCCCAAGATGCAGATGTGTGAAGCACAGGTGTGGCTTAGCTACCCTCAGCATTGCTCCAGTGCTCCTTTCTCCCCCACTGCCTCTGCCCTGGGACCTGCTCCATCCCTTCTTCTCCTCTTCCTCCTGGGATGTGCTCCTTTCCCCAGGGGCTGCCCCACAACAAGCCCCTTGCCGTTGCCTGGCCCTGCTCCATGTGCATCTATTCTCTGCTACACACTCCCTACACTGCCAGTTGAGCCCACCCTGGGCAAAGAATAAGTGACAGTCCCCAAAAGTCCTTGTCACCTCGGTGTCCCTCTGCTCTCCTGTCCCTTCCCTTGCCCTGACCCCCAGCCCTGTTCCTCCTTTCCCAGCCATGTTGCCTTCCTCCCCCAGCCCACATCCCCTCCCCACAGACCACAGCCCCCCCACCTCCTGTTCTCTTTTTGCACCCCATTGCCCCTACCCCAGGCCTCATGCCAACTCTTGTGACCCCCCAGCACTAGGGGATGGGGTGGCTGCGTCCCAGAATCCTGGTGACAGAGGGGACAGTGGCATCAGTGGGAGGCCACACTGGTCCTGCAGGCTGCCAGAGCATCTTTGCTTTGTTTCCTAGGACAGTGGCCACACAGATCTGCAGCCCTTGGGGCATAGTGATACCCACCAGCTGGGGGCAGAGGGGTGGTGAGCCCAACCCCAACCTTCCTCCCACTGCCCCGTGGGGGTGATTCAAAATGTGCTCCTGAGCCTACTGTGGACAGAGACCTGGGGTGGAGCTGGAGAGACCAGCAGGAGATCAACAGGATTTTGTTCAGTGAATGCTTTTTATGGTGTTACAGAAAGTGTCAAAAGGGCTGAGGAGGGA